TTAAAGACAATATACCATACGATCAAGCTAGAGAGAAAGTACGAAAAGCTACACTAACACATACATCATTCAGGTTTTCTTCTGAACAGTTTCCTACTTTACCATCAAAAAATGTGGTAAATGAAACTATTCCAGTTCAACAAAACGCTTATAGTGCCAGTAGTTTATATAATAACGTCGTTACAAATTTATTTTCAACACAGAATGTACATAGAGCTAGGGATTCAAAAACAAATACTGTACCCACACACCCTGTGCCAAATGATGCAGAATCTGTGCATGTACCAGATTCACAAAATGTCAGCAGCCAACAATGTAGACAACAGATATCTATTGATCCATTGCAGTTTTTTGGTTTCATAACAGAAGTATTAAATACCACAATTATAGCCTTATCTACAGGAAAAAGTATTGATGTTGCTTCAGTAGTCTCTGAATCCGCCGGGAATCTTTTTGGGTATGGATTTGAATCTAGTGTCCTAAAAGACTTGCTTAATCGAGGTGAAAAAACGCAATGTTCCTCAGAATAATTCAGTGGAACTGTAGAGGAATCTATCGAAAAATCCATGATTTTAAAAATTATATTGCTTCACTTTCTGATGTACCAGATATAATACTGATTCAGGAAACTCATCTGATCGCACGGTATGAACCTCGTCTCCATGGATACACATGCTTTCGAAAAGATAGAACTGTGCATGGGGGTGGTATTTGTGCTTTTGTTTCAAATTCACTCAACTTTTCTGAGGTTAATTTACAACCTCCAGACAACGTAGAGGTACAGTGCATTATGATTAATGGATACAAAATTGTTAATCTATACATGGCCCCTGGTCGAGTTATATGTGAAGACGAGATCACACGGTTTTTTGAATCTTTTCAACACAAAGCTATTATATGCGGTGATTTTAATTCCCATCATCCCATGTGGAACTCAAGAAACTCTGATATAAGAGGAAGAATGATTTATAATATCATTGATCGTATTAATCTTGTCGTGCTGAACACGAACACCCCGACGAGAATCAACATATCACAAAATGCCCAGGCCACGAGATGGTCCCTTCTTGACCTCACTTTAGCATCCAACGATATAGCACTCAAATGTACTTGTGAAGTCACTGAACAACTTCTCGGAAGTGATCATTTTCTCATAAATACATGCATTGAAGATGCATTTGCAAAACCTAGTACACATATTCCATCTTGGTCTTTTAAAAATGCAAATTGGGATAAATTTGAGAAGCTGAGCAATGAATTTTTATTAGCTAGCATACTTCCTGCCAATATTGATCAGGCCACTGAATTTTTCACAAAATGTATCATCAAAGCCGCCCAGTCATCAATTCCCACGACTAAACCCATGAATAAAATTGGGGTACCCTGGTGGACACAAGAATGTGCAAAGGCTATAAGACTAAGGAAAGTTGCATATAATAGAATGAAAAGGAACATTTTCCCACAAAATATTATCTTTTTTAAAAAACGAAGGGCAGAAGCTAGAAGAATTATTCTGGAAGCAAAAAAGCAAGCATGGTACAGTTTCTGTAATTCACTTGACCATAATGCTAAATTGAACACTGTTTGGGGGGTTATAAAATCCTTTTCGGGTATTTCAAAATACCGAAAGATACCAGCCTTAATATCAGGTGATAGGACTATCAACGATAGCTTAGGAAAGGCAAATGTCCTTGCATCAAGATTTGCCACAGTTAGCAGCTCAAACAACTATAACCCTGATTTTCTCGATATCAAAGACACGTTTGAAATACAAAATGCATCCATAACAAATACAAATGAAGCCCTAGGAGAACATCCTCTCAATATACCATTCACAATACAAGAACTTAACCACATTCTTACTCCTCGCAAAAATACAGCACCAGGATGTGATAGAATATGCTATCAGATGATCCGACATCTATCTACAGAATGCTTGGATATTTTACTACAGCTTTTTAATTCAATATGGCTTTCTGGTTGTGTCCCCTCATCCTGGAAACATTCAATTGTCATTCCAATATTAAAGCCCAACAAACCAAGTCATGATCCAGCGTCACATAGACCAATTTCTCTCACGAGCAATCTCTGTAAACTTATGGAAAGAATGATAAACTATAGAATTAAATGGTTTCTTGAAACAAATACTCTACTGAATTCAAGTCAAAGTGGATTTAGAAGTAACAGATTGACCACGGATAATATTCTTGCTCTACACGGTGAAGTATACAAAGCTCTTGGAAATAAGCGTTCTGTGATTGCAGTCTTTTTAGATCTTGAAAAGGCCTATGATATGGTGTGGAGAGAGGGTCTGCTATATAAACTATTCAAAATTGGAGTGCGGGGAAGGATTCATCAATGGATTAGATCATTTCTCACAACACGCTCAATACAAGTCAGAGTAGATTCGTCGATGTCGGCTACAAATTTCCTACAAAATGGTATTCCCCAAGGCAGTGTTCTCAGCCCGATTCTTTTTTCCATTATGATCAATGACTTGCCACAAAATGTCCCTTCAGTGGTAAAGCTTTTTGCTGATGATGGAGCTTTCTGGGAGACCGGATTGCATATCCAGGAAATAATACCAAAAATCCGAGCTTCCTTAAATGCCATAATAACTTGGTGTGATAAGTGGGGGTTTAAGATTTCCACCACAAAATCCTGTATTATGCTTTTCACCAAGCGCAAGAAAATCCATACAATACAGCTCCGAATCAAGGACTCAGTAATACCTGTCACATCCGAATTTAAATATTTGGGCGTTGTGTTTGATTCTAGACTTAATTACAAAAGACACGTCGAATACATACATAAAAAATGTCTAAAAAGAATTAATATATTGCGTTTGCTCAGTGGTACAACATGGGGCTGTGCAAAGGCACCCCTTTTAACACTATATAGGGCACTCATCAGATCAATTTTGATGTATGGCATTGAAGCATACCATTTTACTTCGCCATATATTTTACAGAAGTTGCAAAAAATACAAAATACGTGTCTACGTATTTGCGGTGGCTCTATGAAGAGCACTCCAATAATATCACTTCAAGAGTCTTGTAACGAAATGCCGCTCCATATACAACATCTTAACTGTTGCCTTGCATACAAATGCTTGCTCCTTTCTCACAAGGATCATCCTAATAAATCACTCATTAAGCAGTCTTGGCATGAGTACTATCCAGACTCTGATTCTTTTGTAACCTTTAATATGCTATCGACCTCTCGAATTTTTTCTAACATAGTTGTCAACAACACTAAATTTTTTCCCATTCCACCCTGGAATATGCCTCCGCCTGAAGTGGATACAGTTTTATCAACTATGTCTGTTACATACAACAATCCTACTGTTTTTGTGTTACAATGTTTGGAGTATATTGAAATGGAATATCCAGGTTACCTGTGCAAGCAAGCATGTCTTGCGAAATGGAATTTAACATATCAAGCAAACGATACTGCAAGCCATTACAAAAACTTTCGACCTCAAATAGCCCAAAATAATGTTTATTTCAAATTTTCCCGCCAAGAAGAAATAATATTTTTTCGTCTTCAAACTGGACATATCAGACTTAACTATCATTTATTTAAAATAGGGTTACATCCCACAGGGCAATGTAGTCGATGTGACACAAATGAAACTGTTTCCCATTTTATTTTATATTGTCCCAAGTATAATAATTTACGATGCGAATTAAGACGTGAAGCAGCAAAAATGAATGTACCCTGGGAAATTATTTGTATTTTCAATGTTCCTAATTTGATTCCAATAATTATTAAATTCGCTATATCCACCAAACGAGAGTTGTAAACATGTTTTTATTGTATCATTCTGACTACTCCTTTTGAAAATTGGCGTAAAAGACCGAGTTGTCAAAGACGCCATTAAACCCTTTACCTTACCTTACCTTACTGCAGACATTGTGTATTATCAAGGACGACAAAGAGAAGCTGAAAACGCACGTTACCGTACTTCAATCGTGTGTGTCGGCGCCGATAATGATATACTATTTATGCTTCAATATTCATTTAGAATTGTATTACATATTCTAAACTTGGTCGAATCAATGGTCATGTCATTGGCCGAATCTACTGGTAGAAGTTGCCACATAAATGAAGACCGCCATTTATACCTGCTCGAATATCTGCTTGGTACATGCAGACATGACTTGTTGCAAAAGATCTTTATTTTCATGGCAGCTTTGTTTGCTAGCTAAGCACCATTCGACTCCTATCACACGTACACTTTGTGGTAACTATTGACTGATTGAGGTTCAGCTGCTTAGACACTTGTTTACCTTTCTGCCTTTAGGCAGGTTTTCATTATCACGTATAGGCACCATATTATGCTTCTGAACACAGTCACAGGTACTGTATTCTGGTATTAGTGTTATCATATACCGGTATTTTTATCACTCTTTTCAATCTGTGGTATGACAATTATCGAGACTGCTGGTTGGCAAGAAATATGATGCAAAAAAAATTTCTGTATTCTTAACTTTATATTCTTGTAATAAAACCTGTGTTCCATCAGGCAGTCAGGGATTTCAGATTTTGGTGTGAATAAGGATAGGATAGGATTTACATATTTATCCCGGGGGAGAAGAAAGCCGATAAGACGGCTTATCCATATGGCGAACCACGGCCTCTAGTCCGGTCACCATTCCAATTTAGTTAGTTATATTATCCATTAGTTATATTGTTTGTTTTCGGAAGCATGGACTTGGTGGTGGAGGAAGCCGTAACCGACCAGCGGTGACGTGAACCACTCAACGACGGCGAGGAGTCCAGCAATCCTCTCGCACATAACCATCCCTGCATGGGATGCGAACCCACGCAGAGTAATTAGAGGTGCGGTGGCGAGCGTATTCCTAACGCTTAGCCCGCTGAGCCAAACCGCCGCGCCAAGTTAATAATAATAATAAGTTAAGAGATGAATTGCATTAGTTTCTGTTAGATGTTTTGTGATTTACTGGGTTTAAGGGCAAAATGAACTTTTGTGTCTGTCTGGATTTTGCAGATAGTACTGTAGTATGTTTAGGGCTTAAGTTTTGTAAACTTAGAGGAAGTCTAAAGACTTCTGCAGATTAGAGCAAACATACGTCAGTAGTCAATACACATCCATAAATTTAGTCTGACATGCCAACTTGCAATTTTCCGAGTCAACATGAATGATTCCATGATGGATGCCAATAATGCTGCTGTATGCTCAGTTGAAATGACAAATATGAGTCCTACTAGCAATAATTGTGTGGAAATGTCACCATTGCCTTCGATTAAAGGTTTGATACTTAATTTTTAAGTTAATTTCAATTTTTCTACTGTACTTAATGTGAAAACTGATTTAATATGATTTGCAGATGCTGGGGCCGAGGATCAGAAAGAACTTTTAATGAAAAAACTGGAACAATGTTGTGTGATGTTTGACTTCTCTGATGTTATATCCGATATTCAGGTAAAGTCTTACATGGCAATTGTTTGAAACAGATTGCGTTAAAATTCTTAATGTGTTGCAGTACCTACTTCAATAACAATCGTGAAATTTCCTGAGTTTTGAACACTATCTATAGTAAATTTGTATAGAAAATATGAGAAATACAAACTCTTCATGTATGATGCAATGAGAGCAAGGAATGCTCTAGAATCATAATATTAAGAGATAAATAAAGTGTAAACAAATTTGCAATAATAATTAATTTAAAAATATATATGGAATATTGTTAAAATATTGGTACTATAGGTATAGGTGCTTTAGTACAATTAGATGTTTTCGTTTTTTTATCTACTTGAATAATAAAGAATGTGAAGGCTGGTGGTGCTAAATACATGTTTTGTTTTAAGGCAAAAGATGTGAAGCGTGCCACATTGAATGAACTGATTGATTTTGTATCCCTATCGACTGGTGCATTAACTCCAGATGTATACCCAAAGACAATTGATGTGGTAAGTGCTGGTAAAATATATATCTTGTGAATTTTTCAGAAAGTGAGGTATAAACTTTGTTCGAATATTTGATATAGATTATTGTATTTATTCGTATACGATTTTGCTGTTCAACCACATCAACAACTTCTCGAACAAATTTTGAATTCATGTGATATAATTGAGCAACTCTTTATATATGTTAATTTGTTTTAATTTATTTGTTATAATAGGAATTTTCATAGACAATTCAAATCATAGTAAAATAATTTTAATTCCAATTTTGATTTGTGAATTCTCTATGGATTGATTTTATATTCATAACCATGGCGTAATTTTCAGAATCAAATTGACTTAAATGAGATATTGGCTATTAAAATGTTTTAAAAGACAGGTTAATTAGTGTATACAGGGATTGTAGTTTACTTTTATTATTATTCCAGTCAACAAATCAAGTTTTTTCAATAAACTGTTTGATTTAAATGTAAATATCTATTCAACAGATTTCTCTGAACTTATTTCGGCCTCTGCCTCCGACTGATAATCAAGTGTATGATGTTGATGAAAATGATCCTTTTCTTGATGCTTCATGGCCACATCTACAAGTAGAATATTTTATGTTAAGTCTATAATATGAAAAGATAGAAGACTATTATGAAGAAAATCGATACCGATACTATTAAAAAATATTTGTTTCAACCAGAAAATCATGTTATCGAAGTTACTGTTGCTTTTATGACAAAAATCAAGTAAAGTTTTAAATATTTAACACTGGGTATTTCACAATTTACTCACTTTATTGAAAATTTCATATTTGCGTTTTTCTACTTATAGTTGGTATATGAGTTCTTTCTGAGAGTATTGGAATCACCAGAATTTAAAGCACCTATAGCAAAACAATACGTCGACCAGAAATTCATGCTGCAGGTTGTGATTTTAATTTTCTCTATTATTTATCAATGGACATAAATGCTGTGTTCGGTATTCACCTCCAATGACTTATGAGAACTTGAATATTTTTAGCTTTCAAAGCATTTTATTAGGTATAAATTGTTTTAAATAAAGGAAAAATATACGAAATGAACCTAAAACAAATTGAATAGCAGTTTTATTGATGCTCCCCTAAACTCTTCTATAAAAATAAAGTTCTGACTTTTGACCCGGCAAAATATTATGGCATTGTGTGTCATTTTTATAGAATCAGAAGATCTATAAGACTCTGTAAAAAATGCTATTATCTGTTTGAAATTTGGTTCCATATATTGTAGTAACATGTGCCTAACTTTTTTTCTCCTACCCCTTTGGGTTAGTAGATCCCCGTATGCACTGACTGCAAGGATGCTGTAGCATAAATCAAACAGTTTACTATGTAATTTATCTTAAGTTTTTTTACTTGGTAATAATGGTAATGATTTCTCTGTGGATGCGTGTGAGCGTGTGTGAATTGACTAACAAACAGAGTAGTTTCCTTGTTAGTAAATTGTATGGCCAAGCAAGTTGTAGATATAAATTTATAAGCATGTCGTTGAAATCACTAATTGCTTCATTCTAGTTATTGGAATTGTTTCGAAGTGAAGATCCAAGAGAGAGAGAATTTCTGAAAACAGTACTTCACAGAATTTATGGAAAATTCCTGGGTTTGCGGCTATTTATCAGAAGACAATTCAACAATATTTTCCTCACGTATGTAGTTTTTCAAAGCTTACCATTTATGAATATGTGAAGGTTCCACTATCAGTTTTCTAGAATTTACTTTTAAAATTGCGATTTTTTCGTATTTTAATTTAGTTGAATAAAATAGCGATTTCATTGGTTCAAAGATTTTCTAGTTCAAAATTATTTAGAAATTCTGAAATTTTGAACATTCCAAAATTTTTATAATCTCAATTTCCCTTTTGAATGAAATTTGGCAGAGTAATTTTAAATATTATGACAACAGTATCGTTTTAAATATTTTCAACTATCTTTTCTTTTTACATCAGATATGTTTATGAAAACGAGGAGTTTGCAGGATTACCAGAGCTGTTGGAAATATTAGGAAGGTAATAAACCCTTCATTTATCTTAAACATGTATATGTATAAAAACATTTTGAAAATGACAATTTGTTCGATGGAACTCGTCTTATATGATTTCTAAACTGTTGTTTATATTTTCCATGGGATTTAACTTTTAGGTTTTTTTCATATTTGCTGTGGGCTGTCCAGGGAACCATGTTCATCTCCAAATTATACTTGTTTCGAAAATGACATGGATTTTTCGCTGATTCATTTCTGTCAGCTCTGGCTTAATGATTGGTAATAATGATTGCATGGTGATTGGTGAAGCTACCCTGTTCATGTATGTACGTGTGCACTTCTCTTGTAATTTATCCAAATTCTATTAATTGAAAATTACTCATTTTTTAATGAGCTTACGTCCAATGTCCTGCAGTTTCTATTTACTCAAACCGTGTGCCTATCCATTAAATATACAATGTCAATACAATTTGTATTTTTAGCATTATAAATGGATTTGCAGTCCCACTCAAAAATGAACATAAGCAATTTCTGGTCAAAGTCCTTATACCTCTCCATAAAACGAGAACTCTGGCTCTTTATCATGCACAGGTAATAATATACGGTAGTTTTTTTATCCAGATATTATTAATTCGTATAAGATTAGAATTATCACTTTACTCCTCACGTCTTCGGGCAGTGGTTTTCAACCTGAGCAAAACCCCAGTGCAACTTCCCTGAGGCTTGCGGACCCCTCTGCGCAATTGTTCTTCATTGTCTGAATTGTATAAACTAGAAATATATATAAAAGCAAATCTAATACTAGCAATACAAAATAATCTTTAGATTGAAGGCAAATTCAAAATTGATGACAAACAACATACATATATTAATATAGGCGTTCGGATTTGAATGGAAACTTCAAACTTGTAAAATCCCTTATCTGTACTGGGGGAACGCTATGGTGACATGGAACCCCGTTGAAAAACACTGCCTTGGAGTTTTAGCCTAAACTTTATATATTTGATTGCCCAATACAGGCTCAATACAGAGTTTGCTAATAAAAATATTTGTTCTGGTTCTGAATATGACGCCAGTGTGAAAATATGGCTTTATCCAATTATAGCAGTGAATATATGCAAAGATTTATTGTAATGAAAGAAAGTGCTTGCAACAGTGATTGTCATGTATTTTTGGGCTTGTTTAATTTAAAGTTTATCTTTATCTTCTCAGCTGACATATTGTGTGATACAGTTTCTGGAGAAAGATTCAACACTAACAAGCCAAGTAAGCAGTGTTATTACTACTGTATATGGATTCTTGGTTTTCCACATTTCACTATTAGACGACCATTTCGATATTAAACCTGAACTACTTGATTAAAGGCGCATAAATTTTTTACTTCTACTGAATGAAGAAAATTTATTTAACACGTGGAATTTCCATTTGTGTGTGATTGGATCCAAAGTTTCAGTGATCTGGGATGTTTTAGCACAAAAGTTGGGTTCCTATAGGGCGCTCAAGAAGTGTGTGTACCAATATGGAGGTATCTTGTTGTTCGCCTATTTTACATCAAGTTGTGTAAAGGGACTGAAACCTATGGGAAGGGGGTATATTCACTTGGCTAACACATACAGTCCCCGAACTCGTAATAGTACTAAAATAAGGAAAATCTGAATAAAATTATGGCCCAACTCTAACCTAGTACACACACTACCCGCCATAGAATGTGTTCCGAATATACTTGGTTTCATTTTTTGGTTCTGATTTTCTTGACTGAATAATTGGATAGGTTCTGAATGTAGATTGTTTTTCAAAAAAAATTTCTAATTTATTTTTGCATGATAACTGGAAAGTTGAAACATTTTTAGACAATATAATTTTGAGTCAAAATTTTAACATACATGGACTGTTTGTGCTTAGATTTGGCTCATTAATCATTTTAATATTGCTTCAAACAGGTGGTGCATGGCATACTTAAATATTGGCCACAGACATGTAGCGCAAAAGAAGTCATGTTTGTTGGTGAGATTGAAGAAATTTTAGACATAATTGAACCTTCGCAGTTCTCTTGTATACATAGAGAATTATTTCAACAATTATCTCGCTGTTTGGCTAGTCCTCATTTCCAGGTAAAGTGTGTGATTTAATATTACCCTTAATTTATAAAAAAAAAAATTCAAATTTTTATCAATGGTTAATTTATGATGAACGAATATTGTGAAGTATGTTTTGTGAAAATGAGTACTTGTGGGTAGGCAATGCCGAAGCTGAGAGATTCTGTACTTTCTAATAATTGTAGCTCCTTATATCAGTAAATGCTTGAACAGTGCCTTGTTCGATGTGAAAAGCATGAAAAAATGTCATTTGATTAAATTACCAAATTGTCTGCTTAAAGTATGTGTCAATGTGAGTAGCTAGACAAGAAGAATTAATTTTAGCAGTGAGGGCATTTACTTGGAATAGTTTATTTGAAACAAAATTCGAAATTAATGTAATTAAATCCTTTTATAGGTTTCAGATTAGATTATCTATCAGACTTGTGAAATTTCATATCATTATTAGCTGTCAAAATACCTCCATTTATAATTTTTAAAATCCTAATGAACTGTTATAGCCTTTTAGAAAGCCAGACTGTTCTGATGTCAACATCTCCCGATCAAACAACCAAATTTGTTCGCTGATAAAAAAGATTTGCCATACTGTTTCACTAAAATTGCTGGCTGAAAAATGAAATTGCCCCATTGTCATTTTATCCCATTATTTGTATGAATTAAGTCAGTTTTGACTTATATGAACAGGTAGCAGAACGAACACTGTATCTCTGGAACAATGAGTATATTCTTGGTCTGATCGAAGAGCATTCTTCAACTATTCTGCCTCTTATTTTTTCAAGTCTTTACCAAATATCAAAGCATCATTGGAATGCGTAAGTACTGATATGATTCAACGGCGGTGTGGCTCATCGCGCCAAGCGTTAGGAATACACTCGCCACCGCCCACCGCACCTCTGATTGCTTGGTGTGGGTTCGCAGGTTCGAAACCCATGCAGGGATAGTTATGTGCGAGAGGATTGCTGGACTCCTCACCGCCGTAGGGTGGTTCACATAACCGCTGGTCGTTCATGGCCTCCTCATCCATCAAGTCCGTGTTTCTGAAAACAAGTAATTAACTAATTTCATACCCGACATGGAATGGTAACCGTATGAGAGGCCGTGGTTCGCCATATGGTAAGCTGTCTTATCGGCTTTCCCTACCCCCGGGATAAATATGTAAATCCTATCCTACGAGATGGGAGGTTTGAATTTCTGTAATTCAATTTGTAGGGGTGAATTAAACTTTCGCTATGGTACTTTGAAATAAAAAAGAATTTTGCATACTGACCACATGCAAGAGAAAACATAGCTATAGTTTGCAGTTTTGTAATGTATGGGAATGAGGTAACTGGCTGGTTCATCCCAAATTTGACCTGGACTGGTAATCTGATGAGATGCAGTGGAAATCCATATGGGCATGTCGCTTTCCTAATTTACTTCCTTATGGATAAATATGAAATTTTATCTTTTAACGGCTATGCATGACATTGTTTATGACATCATACACGATGATGAGAGACTGTCATAATTTCTTTTCCTCATTGTTTGAATAACTCAGAAAATGTTGAAAAGTCTGTTCAGCTCAACAAAGATCAAGATTGCGGTTCCACAGATTTTAATAACTCTCTTTTTTATCTATAGGACAATAGTTGCACTTGTTTATAATGTTTTGAAAACATTCATGGAGATGAATGGACAATTGTTTGACAAACTTACTGCTTCATACAAAGCGGAAAGACAAAAGTGAGCCTCTTGCTTCTATATTTCACGGTTCTTCAGTCTTGCTTAAATTTTACCAAGTCTAATAAACTAATCTTATTCTTAGACGTGTGTCAATTATGCTGATTATAAATACGAGTACACTTGTACCAAAAGAAGTGAAAAATTATAAAAATATTATTGTGTTAAAAACCTGATTTTACTGTCTCCAACTTATGTTGATGAAATAATTTTCCTGGTCATGAAAGTTTTTGTTTCGTACAAAGTGGATCCATGTATAGTTTTGCCAAATTGTTGATGTTTTCGGAGGTTCTTATGTTGTTGTTGTTACTTTTCTTAGGGAATACTGTATCAGATGCATTGAAATTTCTTTGACCTCTGCCTCCCACAAGCCTTCAAGTTCTATGTTTTTTTTTCTACCTACTTTCCAGCCTACTGTTTTAATCCCAAATTTAATGGTTATGATAGAATTTGTTCATCATGAAGATTTGACGATTTTTTATCTTTGGTTTGGTTATATTAAATATTAGGTGCTCTAGAAGTGTATGTACCAATATGTAGGTAACTAATTTTGTTTGCCTACTTTACATCAAGTTGTGTAAAGAGACTAAAACCTATGGGCAGGTGGTATATTAACTTGGGTAACACAGACAGTCCCCGAACTTGTAATAAAACTAAAATAAGGAAAATCAGAATAAAATTCTTGCCTTACCCTAACCTGGTACATACACTACGGGAGTATCAAATAATAAACATTGAACTTTCAGGGAACAGAAGCGATTGAGTGAGAGAGAAGATCTGTGGAAAAAAGTTGATGCTTTATGCTCACGGAAAAAATTGTCACAAATCAATGAATAGCACAAAAGTATTAAGATGTATTTACATTCTTTATCTTTAATTATTTTTTTGTACATTTTTAGTTTTAAATCGTGTTTTATATTGTTAATTTTTAGTCATATTTGATCGATGCGAACACATTTTTCTAATCTAGTTTGCTGCTTGTACAGCCTGCTCATTGTTGTGAGATTTTTTAGTTGCTTTTATACACATTGTTCAGAAATATATCATGGTTCACACAAGTATTAAATATTGTTCCTGTGATTGTGTTCATAAGACAAATTCAAGATGGGAAATGTTGTGTGTGGAATTCATGTACCCCACATTTTTAATGATCTCTCAAAATTAGGGTTCACAAAACTGTATTCGTAGGTAATTTTTCTTGCTCTACCATGCAGCGTTGGCCAGTTAAAATTTTAAAGGGGTCCCGAGGGATGCATGCAAAGTGACAAACGTCGTGTTTACATTATAATAGTTTCAATCCGCTCACTTATACTCCCGCAGAGGTTCGAATGGGTCAATTTACAATGCGCGTGCTATTCATCTTTCGTGGCATGCCTGGTTGAGGCAGAATTTTGACCACCAAGAGGTGTGCACCCACGCACTCGTATATGGGTGACACCGTGCCGCAGGAAACGTTTTATAATTTATCTGCGCTGGAGCTTTTATTCGACAGAAATCGATCGTGGATTGTGAACGAAAAGGCGTTTTGTTGAGAATACTCGGCACTTTTTTGTATTCGGTGGAATAAATAATGATAACATAATCTCGAATTGGATAATATAATGCCTTTAATCAAAACGTAATAGAAGCAAAAAAATAATATATAATTTTACATCCCGTACTGAAATAGCTCGGATACACTCCTTGATATTCCATTTTTTGCCATTGCGAGCTCTATGAAATGATGACCACAGTTGCACGCGCTTGAATATTGAATATCTTCTATTGCTCCTGTTTATAGGAATGATTCCCGACTGCTCGCATTAATTGTTTATAATATTCAATGATACAAAATCCCTTTTCATTTCTTCTTCTTTCCTTTTGTGAGTTGATTTTCTACCATACGAAGATATTTTTTAATTTCTGGATCTGTAAGATGAAAGGAAAGAAACATTTCAGGAAATCTAACGCTATTGGAAGGTAAATATTATTTACCAACTTTTCACATTAGTTAGTGATGCCAACGCACTCGACATGCTATATCTGTATATCATATCAAACCGAATATGTTTTTGACTTACCGAAACATGTTTAGGTCCGTATCGGATAATAATTTTCCCATTATAATACAGGGTGACCCAAAAAACGGAACTCGTAAATTTGTCATTAACTGTACAAAAATAAAAATAAATTCATTGGATTAAACTTCTGTTTGTGCACGATTGTACCCGGTGTTTCAGAAATTTCTGAATAAATTCACCCTGTATATAACCGAATATAGCGTGTTTACTTTCACATATTTTATGCCAAATAGTGATTGCTGTACGTACGTGACGCAATAGATAAGGTCCTAGAAATGTACATTGTTCGTCTTTTCATACACTATCAAAATTTACCCATTGGTTCCGTTGACAAATCTTTTGCGTTTTGCATGTAGAATCTGCACAGTTCGTATTCTCGTAAATAATAACATGCCATCCCGCATTTGACTAATGCAGGGACGTAATCTTCTCGAAAGTCAAGAATTCGCATACAGTAGCTTTTAATTCTTCGATAAGGAACTCGCTCTTTGTGTTGTAGGCATCCTATGAGGAACACAGTAAAAATGGTGAAATGCACCACAGTTTATATATATATATATATACCAGGATGGTCCAAACCCAGGCCCGCGGGCCACATGTGGCCCGCTGCTTCATTATCTGTGGCCCGCGTCACATTCGGAGAGTAACCAATAAATCGCATTTTGTGTTGTTTCGTAATCAAATTAATCAGAAAAATCTTTTGACATATTGTTGCATCACTAATATCACTGAATGGACTAGTGTTATGGCTAGCTGAGGCAAATAGCGAAGTTAAATGATGTGCTTGGCAGTCAAAACTATTATCTGGATATCTATCTTTTTGGTCGGGAATATATGCTAACAATAGAGGCATCTTAGAAAACTAAAAATAGACAACCTTGGACCACCCTGATATATACTCTTGCACCATTGAATTTTCGTATTTATCCAGCCACACTTAAATTTTGTCGAGATAATTCATCAACAAATTAAGCATACTACATCTTGTTGTACTGCGGGACGGTAATGGAGTAAGTGTACATCGGCAATGTTCAGCTTAAAACGTAAATTGCAATATTCAGTTTGGAATTCTCCCAAAAAACATGGAAAGTGAGATAGCATCGAAATTACAACCTTTCGATGGGTTATTGAAAAAGTAAGCAACATCTGTTAAATGGCAAATACCTAGTTGGGACGATACACCAATTCAGTTTTCTCTTAATATTTCATCTTTATCTTTTTGCCAGGTGCAAGATTTCGTGTCAAGGGGCGAGATGGGAATTCCACCATGACGCACTCAAATTGTCTTACATATATTTTCCGTATAATATAATATTGTTGTGTATACTGGGGACATATTGGAACCTATATCCCGCTTTGTAACAAACTAATAATCCCATAACATATCATTCTACAATCGTGCGTCAATATGGAAAATGGTTTCATAAGTGATCGTAAACATCAACGAATTCAATTTATAAATCTGTTTCCACCAATAAAATATTCTCTAGACCGTCGGGAGTCAGTTTACATAGTATGCGACCGCGCACAAAGGGATAGGTCGGGTGGGAGTTCTACCTTTTGTATTGGATCTATTGCTATTAAATAAAACAATAGCACAAACTTAATCGACCATAAAGATACTCTTTTTGTAATAGGATATATGGACGCGTCTTATTACCATGATATTTTTAGACATTTTCGTGCTGCCATGCTCAACTATACTTGTTACTGTCCATTTAAAATTTCATAACAAAGCAAACGTTTCCAGAACAAATTATTAAAAATTTAGAAAAATATTATAATTAAACAATCTATTTTCAATGCTAAATGAGGTATCATGGCGCGCACAAAAAGGCGAAAAAACGTATGTATTTTTGTCATTTCTTTGGAGATTCAAGCCCAGATATTTATATATATTAGTGCAATTCGGCAAGTCAAATATGAGTGAGTTGGTAATGAAGAATAATGCCGAGTAATACCTGAATAATGAGCGACAAATTAGTTGAAAGGGCAGACAGGCATGATATTATTGAAATTGAGGAGTGTGATAAAGATATATTCTACCCTACCAGCAAGTCCCAAATAGCAGTCTATTTCTACTCCTTCTTTGATTTCTTTTAATTCTGAAGGCATAACACGTAGCGGTAATTTATCTTTATCCATGTCTTCAAAGTCCAAACTCCACAAAACACCTTCATCTGGATCCAATCCTGTGAGCGGTGATTGAAATTAGTACAGAATCCATGAACTATGTTTGCATGCATTTCATTTGAAAACATATATTTCGGATCTTCCTTTGCGTGAAATTTTGACAGTGATTTTACAGTGACGACATGAATTTCATGTCGTTCGTTTTCAAACAATCGACATCGAGAATGATTGCACAGTATGCCCGAGAACTTGAATTTTTTACAACCATACAACTTGCCAAACAAGACAAGCAACACACCGCTTCATCCACTTATATTTAAACTAATATCATCTTTCTGTTTCTCGAAGAAATGGCCGTGTTGCCAACCGACGCCTAGATATTATTGTTAATTGTTATATACATATAACTTTTTTATGTTTCACTTTGAAAGGTCGATTTTGAAGTCATTGTAGTATTTTAGAAAACACCAATAACTGCGTCTGGTTCAGTCGTCCCAATACAGTAGCGATTTTGGGATAATTTTTTATAACAACCCGTTGCATAACTTTTTATTCCGAAATCGAATTCCAGATATGCCAAATAAAAGGTGGTCTTGTGAAAAATCACATCAATGACCACCTGAAACCATCCCAAAAAATTGCAGCTTCCCCAAAAGTTATTGGTTGTATTATATATTAAAGAAATTACCTTTAATATGCAGCAAAGCAAGATGAAAAAATCGTGTTGCCTGTTTCAAATTTTTGTTTTGCATTTCTTCTAGGGCTCGATTTTTATGATCTATTGCGATCCCCACTTTGTTCTTCATATCCTGAATGAAGAAAATATTTTGTAAATTTCGTTTTTTGCGATTCCAAATTCGAACAGATTTTTTCCCTCATTCTGGAATAGGGTTGTCAAAAAAATAACATCCCATATACATGCTATTTTCGGTCACGGGGAAATGTCGCTCCATTGGTGCATAACACTATAACAACTGTGTTAATTGACCAGGGTTCTGTCATTTGGCTCCATAATGAGGGCAGTCACATATTTGTTTGGTCCGTAGTGTGAGGATGGTCTACCTCCAAATGACGCCTACCCAGGTGCAGTCTGAAGTTAGGATTTGTATAAATGGAGTGTTTATCGCAGAATCAAATGTATATGAACAAGTGACGTTCATTAGGAATGGAAAATGCAGTGTTATTTATACTTGAATCTAGTAATACTAGTTTGAGGTAGATCTAGCGCTATAGTGTGGTATAACTATAGACCTCGCGCTAATTTATAGCACCATACGGTGTTAATTTCTGACCACCTATGAACGTGTTGAAAATAAGATATATATATATTAAGTTGGTAGAAGTAAGACGCAATACAAACTGTTACTTACTTGAATGAAGTTAATCTTTGGCTTCTTATGTACTTGGCCATGATCAGGCTTGTTTGTTATCACTGCTGTTCTCACGCGAAATTCGCGCTTAACGATGTCAAATAAACCGATACTTTTAGGGTCGATTTCTTCTCCAGAAGTTGCGAGTAATGTATCGTCATCATCATCGCTGTCTTGATATATAGTGTCTGCTCCAAAAACACTTTTTGTATCGATATAGTCTTTCGATCCCAGTATATTGCCTTCTAGTTCTGTGAAGGATTCTTTTATTGATGCCATATTATTTGTAGTGCCGTAGGACACACTACTTGGAGTAGGACTACCTGATGATACTAAGCTTGGGGTAGGCATTTCACAATTGTTTAGTTCAGACTGTTGCAAAATGTCTTCGACTAAGCGCCTCGCACCATTTCATCAAACTGATATATTCGCTCAACTTCTTCGGATTAAATATACAACTCGTGAAACAAAAAACGCACAGCGGCGTATTGTTCCGTACGCTCTTCAGCGCTATTGCTTCGCTACATAGTGGTGTATTATTCCACACTGAAGGGTCATTCAGGCTGATACTCAGTTAATATCACGCTGGATTCATTATCGGTTTCGCTTTGAGTGAAGTCAAGATCGCATAGTTTGGTTTAACATTTCCAGCAAATGTATACCAGCCCGTTAGTTGTACATGTTAAGAAACTAATATCCGTTGATTAAACCCGTAGTAGTATAGAGCAGTGGTTCCCAAACTCTTTTGACTATCGCCCCCCTACAGTAGTTTATACAACTTCATCGCCCCCCCTGCACTACAAATAAATGTAAAGTCAGAAACGAATATATTACAGACCAAATAAGCAGACAAATCATAGTTCATAGTGTATTTTAATAAGATGGGTGAGCTTGGTGTTCTTCAGCGAGTTTTTTTTTGTTATATCTAAAATTACCCCGTTTACTGATGAAAAGGCGATTTCGTTGTTTTGATAGCAATAGTAGCACGGTTGAAAACCCCCTTTTCACCATATAATAGGTCGGAAATGAAAGAATCCGGGGTTCTACCTCCTCAAAAACCGCCGTGTACTCTTGCCTTATAGCATTTCACTTCCTAAATTCACCCCATTTCACATTAAAATATTGAAATCAAAGTTAATTTTCCCAAACTTATAATAATGATTTTCGTACATCTAATTCATTACTACAGTCTGATGACCTGCAATAAAATACTTCGGTAAAATTCATCCCCGATTCCTCCTCCTACCACAATCTCCAGTCCACAGAATTAATCAGCCATTTGTTTTTGGATTCATGGACTCGGATGTGGAAGAAGACGTGACCGACTATCGGCTACGGCCCAGGGGTCGGCAAATTTTATGTCGCTCGCGGCACAAAATTTAGGGTTGCTAGTCTTTTGCGGGTCGCTTATATTTATTTAAAGTTAAAAACGGAACAGTGCGCAAAAACTGCGACAATTCGTGAATTCAACTCAGTCGTCTTATTAGAAAATTATTACAATGTGACACTTTCTTGTTGCTGCATCACGCTTGATAGCTTTACGACGCCAAGATTGGAACATTTTCTAAAAAGGCATCACTAATCCTAGTTCTTCGCTTGTTCTTTGTAATGTACATTTTCGGAAATAATTGCTCGCACAAATATGTACTTTCAAACATCGAAATGAATATCTTCGCATGGTTTGTGAAATTTTGATAAAGATATTCTTTGAGAAGATGTATGCGATGAATCATAATGATGGTTTGAAACACATACCCCATTTTCAGGGGCGTAGCCAGCCCAAAATTTTGGGGGGGGCCAAATTTGAAAATTTTAGAAATTATATTGGGTTTAAAACACCCGTTGTTCAAGCGCAAAACAACAACAGTTGGTCAACAAGCAAACTGATTCAATTACTCAGCTGGATTTTTGTGAATACAAAATTCATTAATAAACAATTTTTTATTTGAAACAACAAATATTAACAACGCAATTTGAATAAGTAAAATACATCGCCCCGATTAAAAGTCCATCCTCCGCTTCCCGCTAACTATGCTCGACACAACTCGATTAATTTTCTCCTCGGTGACAGTGAAGCACACACAAATCAGAAAGGCGATTGGACGTCATTGATGAGCGCAGCCATGTCTTTACCCGTTTCATGCAGGAAAAAGACCGCTCAGCCTCAACGGTGGTTGCTGGTAGCGTCATAACGATCTGTATTGCGGTGTACACGCTTGGATAATCTCGAGCGCTCAGAAGAAGCCCCTCCAAACATTCGTCGTTAACGTCGGAACTTAAAGAAGTTCTCCACAGTCTCACTTCATTCTGGAGGTTATCCAATAAATACAGACGCTCTACCTCATCCACGTGAACTGGTTTGTTCGGTGGAAGAATTGATAGCAATGAAAAAAATGATGGGTTGTCAATGAAGCGTTCCCGAATAGAGCAGCTCAAGCCGTCGACGTATGGGAGATATACGGAACGTTTAAAATACTGGGATGCTGAATCAGCACAGACATTGTCGCGATACACTTGTACTTCGACTACTCTGGGTATTGTCAACTCTTTCAAGCCAGCTATTTCACAAGCTTCTTTGTAAATATTCAATGCGATTTCAGAGTCATTGCGTTCTTCAGCGATAACGCTCTGAAGAGAGGATGTGAGGTTCTTTACTGACGGCACACTGACTCCGACCGCCTGAAGTGCGCGCGCTAGTGGCTCCATTAGTGCCGAATATCGACCAATCAAACATACTGCGTAGATAACCGACGACTTTTCTAGAGCAGATTTCAGAGAAAAAGCCTTCGCCCGCGTCTCACTGTTAGCATCTCTCGCCAAAGAATCAAGAGCCTCAAGTACTCGTTTGAAGTTGCAATTGAAGATTCGGATGCTCTTGTACTTCTCAGACCATCTGGTGGGGCAGAACAAAGGGATGTTAATTCCTAAACCCGCGCGCCTTTTAGGGCTCTCCCTGAAAAAACGAATAGTCTCACGAATGATATCACAGGTGCTTCTGATGATTGCAACTTTACTTTGGTCATTTATGACCAAATTCAAACAATGAGAAGCGCAGTGCACAAATATTGCGCGCGGGTATTTATCACGAATGCGTTTTTGCACACCGCTGACGTGACCTGCCATTGTCGTTGCACCATCATAGCCTTGCCCCACAAGTTTTTGCAAATCCACTCCTATACCAGAGAGGTGGGTCAAAATATTTGAGGAAATTGATTCGGCAGAAACAGAATCCATTTCCACTAATCCTGTGAAGCACTCGCACACTTCACCACCTTTCACATACCTCAAAACGATGCTTAGTTGTTCTTTCCCAGAAATATCACATGATTCGTCGGCTATTACGGACACAAACGATTTATTAGCCTCCATAACGATATCTTGCACTATCATGTTGCTTGCTACCTTGAGAATTTCATTTTGTATCATCGGGCTTGTATACTTAGCGTTTCCGGCCATTCGAGCGAAATGCCTTTTCAAATCTTCATCCCCTGCGTCGATACGAAATAGAAGAAGGCTCACAAAATTTCCACTATCCCCGGAATGTCCGCGCAAGGGTATGTTACCCGAAGCACAGAACATGACAGTCTTGACAATGGAAGTCATTATTCGTCTGTTTTCTTTTGTTTGCGTAGCATATTGGGCCTCCATGTTTACACGCACATTTTGACCAGTTTCCATGCTTTTGACAAAATTTTTCGCAGCTATATTTGATTCTCGGTGGTAATTTGTGTCTCGATGGGTCTCCATAAATTTTTTGTAGTCAATGCATGGTCTTGTAACAAAGGCAGTGTCCCATGCTTCAAACGTGCTTGCATGACTATGCATATCTTACACAAACCACCCCCATCAGAGAGTTGGGTGTAAACTAACCAACTGCAAAATCTGTTATCGTCAAGCCATTTTTTGAGAAATTTACGACGACTTTGTCTAACAGTATCCAGAATCGTCACGTTTTTCGGACCATCCGAAGTTAGAAGCCTGTATCTCTCCGCATCGGTAAGCGTGTATGTTTCTTAAGAATGAATCCAAGATCGTTTGTTTTCCCTTCGTTGATTATTAGTTCATCTTCGGGAATAGAAGTGATAGACGTAACTGACTTAACCGGTGCATCCACAGCCTGAGAAGCGCTTATTGATGTATTTGAGGAAAGCGAGTCTTTATTTCGCTGGAAAAAACTATCTAATTTCGCCTGTTTAAATTTAGCCATCGAAGTAATTTGGTCATCAAAATCCAAGCGTTTCGAATAAAAATCCGGCGAGAACAAATCAAGACCGAGTAACTGACCGAAAGCTTACGAAACAGTCTTTCCCATACGGCTCATAAGAGCGAACGGTCAAGTCTTTGTGACGTAACAATGACAATCAGCAAGCGTGACGAGACAAGATGCCACAAAACTGGTGGATTAGGAATGGAATTTTTGAAAATTTTTGGGGGGGCCATGGCCCCTCTGCCCCCCCCCCCCCTGGCTACGCCTATGCCCATTTTACAGGCGCCAACTCGCAAAAGCACTCTTAAAATAGCCCCGAAAATTTTGCAATGGTGAAGTATAGAAAGAATTATCCGGGGGTCAAAGGTCGGGGCAAGGTCCATGGGATAACCGTTACCTACAAGCTGGCTACCAGAAAATTTATATCCGCCGATTGCCGTGATATTTTATAGTAGTATGTCCTTTTTATTTTCGTAAGTACGAGAGTGCGAATCAACAGATTGTTGAATGGTATGAATTAGAATGATAGTGTGAAACAAATACCCCATTTTACAGGCACCAACTCGCGAAACACTCTTAAACTAAGCACCGAAAATTTAGAATGGTAAAGTATAGAAGGAATTTTCCGCGGCCAAAGGTCGGGGAAAGGTCCATTCAGTGAATCGTCTTGGGCCAGATTGTTTTACTCCGTATTTTTCTGAGCGTTACGCAAACTACCGTACCTTACTGCAAAGACGAACCAGGCAAACCTTTCGCGTGTGATAATCGCCCACGTGATTCAAGCCTGCGAATGCACACAAAGTACACAATTAAGTGCACGATGCGCCAAACAAAAACAGGTTTCGTGAAATCTCCCCCTTCGACTTTTTCGCCCCCCTCTGTATCGTTTTCGCCCACCGGGGGGGGGGGGGGGGGGGCGATATCGCCCACTTTGGGAATCACTGAGAGGACTTGCACGGGTAACGTGACTTTGTTTACTGGACGGCAAAAAAAACAAAAACGTCCATTTGGCTCCTGTCAGTTTCAAGTCGGATTATACGTTTCCGTTTTGTTTGGTTGTTGAAAATGGTTATTTCGTATTGTTCCGTTGGTTGTACGTATAGTATAAACAACGAAATGGATCTTCAGTTATATTCCACTGTTTTCAAAAGATTCGGAACGTCGCGCAATGTGGATATGATCATCTATTGGCAGGACTGCTTGGTGTCAAGTGTCAAGAAGTCATCTCGCTTGTGTTTTACTGTTTGCGGACAGCACTTTGTTGATGATGAGTGATAATGTGCCGTTATCAATTTCTTCAAATATTCATAAGCTCCCTCATTTCAGTGGAAAGCAGATGACAAACTACTGGTATTGGTAGGCCTACTTGCAGACTTGACTTGTATAAGGAATTAATCATCAATTTCTTTTCAGGAAAAAGGAAAGATAACCCATTATCAGCTGCTTATGTCCCATCAATATTTGAATTTTCGCCATCCCCAGAGAGGA